TAAAGAACATGGCTAGGAAAATCTTCATAGGCAAATATGTTTAATGGGATTGAAGTTTGAAAAATTATACCATCACTTCCAATAAATGAGATCCATTTCTCTATTGTAAATGTCTCATAATCTAAACAATCATAATATAAGGAGTTTATTTAGCCTGTTTCTTATCCAATGGCACTATGAATATGAAAGCAATTGCTATCTAATATACCTATTTCTCCAATTTGTGAGAAATTACTAAGTGGAAGATACTTTGTAAAAATTCCATATGAATAACAAATTGCATTATTATGGTTTCTAATATCTCTATTAAGATAAATGTTCTTATATTAGTTATGAGGGGATAGCGTACCAACAGAATAACTATCTGAAAGTTATAGGCAAGATAACACAAGGACAACCTAAATTTAGGTCAACTTCATATATACTTATTTAAATAATACAAGTGGAGTGATTATGCATAGTATATTATTTCATCATTTATGAAAATTGATACAATAAATCATAATTGTTTGGAAATAAGGTGGGTTAAGACAATTAGTTAATAGATTGAAGAACAAAATAATTGTAAAAAAACATTACCTCTTCTGAATTGTTTAATGCTTCACAGAAGTAGAAGCTCGAATATTGAGAAATTATCTCAATTGAATGAAAAAAAAATAAAACTAATCATTTTCAAAAATAATATTTTAATGAATGATGTAATTTAAATGTCACATAATGATTTAATTTATATTAATTGAATTATTATAGAGTTTTCTGTTTTCAGGTTTCACAATTATGATTACTGAGTAAAATTATTACATTTTCCATTTGAAATTACTTGAGGGTGTGGATTCTTCGATATAATATGCTTGATTTAAGAATATTTAATAAAAAAATGAGAAGGAATAATTTAAAGACAAGTGCTCTCTCATAGATCAACTTTAAATCATGTCCAATACTTTTCAATATCATAAGTACCTGAACATCCATCTAGAGATAAGTGAGTGGATAAAAATGAAACTTTATGCTGATTGTCAAAGCATTAAACACTAAAATTGGATCATACTTGACTTTAATTTTTTTATCAGTTTAATCTTTCACTATATTTAATATGTTCAATTTCTGAAGAATTTCAATTTTTAATTGTCATTTATATAAATTCTCTATTTTTAGAGATAAAATATGGAAAATTATACACTCAGAAAAAAGAGCGGTCATTGATGTGGATAATGCAACTCTTATAAATCTACTTAATTGCTATTCTTTGAATAGAGAATAGCATTTGTTGTTAGATTTCATACTACAATTTAAAATCAATTATTTTTATTCCTAAAATTAATACAGCAAAACAAATTGTTAAATCTCCAAAATAACATTAGTAAAATGGATAATAAATTGTAGATATTTAGAGTTCTCATATATTTGCTAAGTTTTTCGCAAATTACAAACAAGAAAAGGAGGAATTTTACGAACTAATAAACCATCAAATACTTCGAATTTGTTATATTAATCTATTTATCATATTAAATTATTTCAAAATATTTATAAAACAAAAAGTATAATCAATAAGAAACTATTATTATTATTTGAAAGAAAATCCAATTATTAATTAAATATCATAGTTAATCTTAACATTAAGAAAATGTTTGTGAAATTCCTAGTTTTTCAATTGATTCATGTTTTTTAAACTTCAAATTTGAAATCCTATTATTTTTGAACTTTATGATAGTAGAATGCATTGCTTTAGATGTAATTTTTATCTTGTCATGTATTCATTATTTATTTAATTTCATTAATTCTCTAATGATACTAATTTTTCTAATGATAAACCTATATCTGGGAAAATATTCTTTAAAGAATCAAGCTTTAAACAAATCAATATCAATAGATTTACAAATAGTTGAGTAAATTGAAGTAGACGGATCAGATTAGAATTGCCTAACCTTTGGAATTGGGTCTAAATATAGTCCATTAGGTAATACAAAATTGAAGGATGCCTATGGGCTATTTGACAGTAATTGCTTTTAAATACTAAATTCTTTTGATTAAGTGACTTTAAGTCTCAATTTTATTTAGTATGATTGCGTCTTTGATACCACAAAAGAAATCAAAAAATTCATCTAAATTGGATTTAGTTAGACTGATTAGTTTATATTTTCATTACAAATAGACCCTTCTCAATATGAAAATTTTTGGTATTTTTTTTAAATCATCACAAATATCTAAAAAAAAACTTTAGAATTAGCAATTTATTTTTAAATCAATTAGATATTTAAAGAAACTCTAAAACTTGTCTTCCCTAATAAAGATTAACAATTATTATTTACATTTGGAGGCAGTTTAAAAGTAGAGAATTCAAATATTGAATTAATTGAATAAGGAACAATATTTTCTCTTTATCCAGGTTAATTAATTTTGTACAATAGGGAGATGGAGAGGGTACCAATAGATTTTGATTTTTGGTTGTAAATTGCTTAATTTTATAAGGAGATAGAAAATTGCAAATGTGATAGAGATGTTGGAAAGAGCAATGTTCATTTGCTATTTTTAGATCAACATACTAATGTTTTGCAAAAGATAAATTGCAATTCATACACACTTGCTGGATGGTTATAGATATCACAAATTCATCAATCTTCTGAAGAATTTATTTATTAATTCATCAAAATAAGTACAAACAAAGATGAAATACAAAATGAAAATTTAGCCACACTTCAACTTTTTTATCAGATTACACCTGTTAAAAATAAAATAATAATTACAACATATAAATACAATTTTCCTTCAGTTACATAAGACTTTGAAAATAATCCATTTATAATTAGAAGAGAATTAATAATAGAAAATGCTATCGACA